CTCCATCACCTGCCAGAGGCCCGGGCAAGACTCACCAGTCCACTAGCTGGGCCCCAATGAGGTCGTGCACATGGTAGGTGAGACCAAGCCGCACAACAGCAGGAGCCCGCCGGCCCAGGAGCTCTGATAAGAGCAGCTCCCGATACTTGGACTTCCGGACCATGCCAAGGACAGCCTGGCGCCCTGGAGAAGTGGCAAAGGAGAAGGGAAAGGTGAATAAGGCGTAGAGGCCTGAGGAGTCACCAAAAGGTGAGGGGCTGTAGGCCTGAGCTGCAGGCCTGAGCTGCAGATGGGATACCTTTAACAAAGTACTTGATGAATCTCCCAGCTCCAGGCACAGCTAGCCACCAGCTTCCAGCATCTCGGACGGTGAGGACTCCTGCGTTCACCAGATGCCTGAGGGCAATGGGAAGCCAGCAGAGATGAGGTCTGGGCTCTGAGAACAACCTCTCCTCCTCATCCATTAATATTTACACAAGTCTCGAGAAACATGGGCAACCACGCAAGAGAAAGTGGATAACAACACCCCAACCTGGGGTGGTTGTGTGCTTGCACCAACTGCCTCTGTTGGTGCAGTTGCTTGTTCCAGGACCCCTACGTGGACTGCCCTCCCTCCACTCTCTTTTCCTGCTACTATTACTCATTCATTTAAATAGTTTCTCTTCCCTGACCACACGTCCTGACACACATTCAGTCTCAGGACTGAGGAGAGGAATCAGGGTCTTCTGCGCTCCCGCCACTACCTAGGCAGACCTCGCCAAGGCTCCCATCACATCTCTCTGAGAGTGTGTCTGCCCATGTGAGACCGGTGCTACAGCTCTTCAAATACTTTCACATATTCCATGCGTTACAAAGTAGGAGGCCTGAGCCAGATACAGCCTCTCAAAATTATATTTTTCTTTAGCGCCTGCCCAGTTGTTTTTTAGCTTTGGGGTTTTTTTGTTTTAATGTGAATGTTTAGGGGTATCCCAACTCCTATCATTCTCTATCCTCTTAGTCCTAGTATAATTAACATCAAGCTTTTACGGTTCCTGCCAGGCCCCTGCATGCTTTTGATAAGCCACCAAGGACTGAATTCTATTCCAGGGCTCTTTCTAAGGCCCCAGGTAAGATAGGTCTCCTCTCTTGTGGGGAGGAATAAAAACTGGGGTCATTTTATTAAAAAGAAGAGTCAGCCTTTTGGCAGCTTTTCTGGCAGGTTCACCAAAAAAGCAAAAGGACAGGCTGCATGGAACTGGAGGGAGCCAGGGAGGCGTCAGATGCCTGACTTTGTTGGTTCCACAAGTCTCACGTGATTTCTGAGTCCCTGAAGCCAAAGGTCTGTGTCATTTGGTCCTGCTGGAAACTAAGGTCCCCACAGGCTGGAAGTACTGAAGCTAGAAATTTCTGCACTGCCCCAGCATACGGTCGGCCATCACAGGCCTTGAGGACCTAGAAGCAGAGATGAGAAGCATGGTCCGTCCCCATCCTCACTCTCCACCAACCTCTCCACCCCTAGGACAGCATTTCTCTTCCTGTCTTACCTCTTGCTCAGATCCTTCCACCTCTCATACCCTTCCTCCTCCTCCTCCTCCTCCTCTCCCTCCTCTCCCCACTCTTCACCCTCTCGCTCCTCCCTCTTTCCCTCCTGTCTCTCTCCCTCATATTACTACTTACCAGGGCCCTGTGCCCTCTCCATGGGATGTGGGGGCAGAGAAATTCTTTCTTTTGTTTTTATTTCTGTTTCCCAACTTCCCTATCTCCCCCAACCTGTTCCCTGCCCCTGGCACCCCTGACACACACAGTCACATACTCTGGTCCTGTAGTCCTCAGTGAAGATAATTCCGTGGGCATCCAAGTCAAAGCCCAGCTGGACGATTCTGATCTCCCCCTGCTCTTGAAGCTCCTTCTGTCTCCACAGAGAAGAGAGTGAAAAGAGGGGTATCAGGGTAAGATGCTCTGCTATACTCTGGGCACTCTCAGGCAGGGAGATTCTGTCAATATTGGGGCAAATTTCTCTTAGTAAAGAAAAAACTGTGTGAGAAGATAATCAGGTAAATGACCAAGCAGCCTCTTCCAACTAGCTACCCACTATCTCATCCACCTGCCTTATCTATGGTCTGTCAAACAGTCAATATAATTTTCTAAGACCAGGCACTAAGATAAAATAATGATTAAGATGCAGGCTCTGGCTTCAAAACATTAACAGGAAAATTCTGGGTGGGGTAAGGTGGGGAAGAGTATGGGATTCAATGTTTAAAACAAATAAAAATGAACCAGGACTTCTGTTTATGAGAATACAGCAAGAACTAATACACCTGTTGAACATTAACTAAAATGCTGGATAAAATGTTATTTAAAAATTGTTTAAGACCAGGTACAGTGGCTCATGCCTGTAATCCAGCATTTTGGGAGGCTGAGGTAGCAGGATCAATTGAGCACAGGAGTTCGAGACCAGTTTGGGCAACACAGTGAGACCCCCATCTCTACAAAAAATGTAAAAACTTAGCCAGGCGTGGTGGCAGAGACCTGTAGTCCTAGCTACTTGGTAGACTGAGGCAAGAGGATCACCTGACCCAGGAGTTTGAGGCTGCAGTAAGCTAGGATTGCAACTGGGCAACACAGTGAGACTCCGTCTCTTAAAAAAAATTGTTTAGACACTAAAGAGTTCACAAGATAACAGGAATTACCACTAATATAACATCTAAGTAGGCCGGGTGAGATGGCTCACACCTGTAACCCCAGCACTTTGGGAGGCTGAGACAGGAGAATTGCTTGAACCCAGAAAGTTGCTGTGAGCCAAGATCATGCCACTGCACTCCAGCCTGGATGACAGAATGAGACTCCATCTCAAAAAATAAAAATAAAAATAACTGGGGCCAGGCACGGTAGCTCATGCCTGTAATCCCAGCACTTTGGGAGGCTAAGGGTGATCACTTGAGGTCAGAAGTTCAAGACCAGCCTGGCCAACATGATGAAACCCAGTCTCCATTAAAAATACAAAAATTAGCTGGGTGTGGTGTCAGGTGCCTGTAACGCCAGCTACTTGGGAGGCTGAGGCAGGAGAATCACTTGCACTCAGGAGGCAGAGGTTGCAGTGAGCCAAGATCATGCCACTGCACTCCAGCTTGGGTGACAGGGTGAGACACTGTCTCAAAAAAAAAAGTAATTGGAACATGGAGTGCATTTATTAATCTAGGCAAATCTGCCCGGAACATTTTCAAAAGTAACTGGGTGCATAAGGAAACAAAACTCAAAGAGACAATAAAAACAAACCCCAAAAGACAAGTAATAGTGGATTTATCAAAAAGACAAAAAAAACAAAACAAACAAACAAACAAAAAAATGGCACTTTGGGAGGCCGAGGCAGGTGGATCATTTGAGGTCAGGAGTTTGAGACCAGCCTGGCCAACATGGTGAAATCTCATACCTATTAAAAATACAAAATGTGGCCGGGCGCAGTGGCTTATGCCTGTAATCCCAGCACTTTGGGTGGCCAAGGGGGGCGGATCAAGAGGTCAGGAGATCGAGACCATCATGGCCATCATGATGAAACCCTGTCTCTACTAAAAATACCAAAATTAGCTGGGTGTGGTGGCATGTGCCTGTAGTCCCAGCTACTCAGGAGGGTGAGGCAGGAGAATTGCTTGAACCCGGAAGGCAGAGGTTGCAGTGAGTTGAGATCGTGCCACTGCACTTCAGCCTGGGCAACAGAATGAGACTCCACCTCAAAAAAAAAAAAAAGGAAAACCAAGGGAACAATGACCATAGCAGTCACCTCCCAGGGACACTCTGATCAGAGACATTTTGATCAGAGAGGAATATATGTGGGATACTGGCCATGTTCTATAGTTTGACCTAGGGAGTAGCTAGATGGGTATCTGCTTTATAAACATCATTTAAATTATATATGTTTATATTTTCATTCGGCAACTTTTAAAGGTTTTTAAAAATAAAAGCTAACACCAATATATTAAAAACAACAAATGCTTCTTAAGGAGTGGTTCCATCTGGCATGCTTCCTCACAGGAGACGTAGTGAGGGAGACTAGCTCACCTCAAGGGACAGCCAGACTGCCTTCCTTTTCTTCCCTCTTTTCTTGAAAGATCACTATTAACCTTCTACTTGCTAAATCCAATGAACAGATTTCAGTTCTGGGTTTTTTTTGTTGTGTTTTCATTTTTTTTTAGAGACAGGGTCTCACTCTGTCACCCAGGCTAAAGTGCAGTCGTGCAATCATAGCTCACTGCAGCCTCAAATTCTTGGGCTCAAGCAATCCTTCTGCCTCAACTTTCTAAACAGCTAGAACAACAGGTGCATACCACCATGCCCAGCTAAGAATTTTTGTGTTTCAATTTATTTTATTTATTTAGTACAGATGGGGTCTCAGTTATTTAGTAAAGACGGGGTCTCACTTTGTTGCCCAGGCTGGTCTCAAACTTTTGGTTTCAAGCTATACTCCTGCCTCAGATTCCCAAAGTGGTGGGATTACAGGCATGAGCCACCACACTCAGCCTAGATTTCAGTTTATATTTTACTTTACCTCTTCCCTCTTCTTAGACCACTGTCTTGAATCACAGCTTCTAATACTGCCAACTACTTCACTTTCTCAAAAATCTCTTTACTTTTACAATAGGCCTCTTCCTGGGTTACTTTTTTTTTTTTTTTTTGAGACAAGGTCTAGCTCTATCACCCAGGCTAGGGTGCAGTGGTGCTATCTCAGCTCACCTCCCCAGATGAAGCAATCCTCCCACCTCAGCCTCCCCAGGCGCGTACCACCACGCCTGGCTAATTTTTGTATTTTTTTGTAGAGATGAGGTTTTGTCATGTTGCCCATGCTGGTCTCAAACTCATGAGCTCAAGAGATCCACTCACCTCGGCCTCCCAAAGTGCTGGGATTACAGGCGTGAGACACCGCCCCGGCCTCGGGGTTCCTCTTAACTCAGGCAATTCCTTCTCTGCCTCTGCCACAGATTCCTCTTCTTCTGCTTTCCCTTTATGTCAGTGGATCTCAAATTTTAAGGCACACTTAAAAAGGACTTGAGGCAGTTCAAAAGTGTAGAGTCCCAAACCCCACCCCAAGAGATTGTAACTCATTAACCTTGGATGAGTCCCAGGAACCTGTATTTTTTAAATAAACAGCCCATGTAATTTTGACACAGGCATAACTCAGCTCATACATTCAGTAACACTGCCTTAAATGACAGTGTTTCCCAGCATTGTGGATTTGACCCTATCAACTTCCACTCTAAACTTGGAGTCCTTAAACCATGGACCTCAGAAGATTAGTGAAGTATTTCCCCCCAACTGTACATACATCCTATGTATATGTGGCATATGTGCATTTTTCTGGAGAGAAATAGCCATAACTTTTATCACCTTCTAAAGATTATAAAAAGGTTAGAAATCACTCCTCTACTCACTCTTCCTACTGGATCTCACCACATCCACAGAATTAACCACTTGCTATTCACACCTCCATGACTTGTAATTCTATTATCACTGGCCCAGAATTCTCTCCAACTCTAATATCCACTTGTGTAATACGTTTGTCTTTGGATGCTCCACATGCACCATCAACTCAACTTGTACAAAATTAAACACATTATCCGTAGTCCAACAACTAAATGTGCTCCTAATATCACCAGCCACGCAGTCATCCGGAAAGTGAGTTGTCCTGGACTCCTCCCTTTCTCACTCTCCTCTCCCTCCGTACTGCACTGACCTAATTTAGGCCTTCACCACTTCTCAGATGCAGTGTCTTCTTAGCTGACCTCCCTGCCTCATCCACTACCTCCAATACACCATTCCCTCTCTCTATGACATTCTCTACCAGCCCATCGCCTCAGTGTAAGATGGAAACAACACTGACGTACAAGGCCTGTCATGATCTGACGTCTGTCTGCACTCCCAGTGCTCTATGTTCGAACCATGCCCCATGACTCGGTTTCCCCAAAAGCCTCGTTCTTCTCCCTCCATGATTGAAATGCCCTGTACTGCCTGTGGCCCATTTAACAGGGTCTCTGTGGCACCCCAGTGCCCGGAACAGTGCCCTCCCCTGAAAGGCCTAATGCTTGCTGAACAGCTGGCGGAGTGACTGAGGGACAGGAAATTTTAGGAGTCAGGAAAGGGGCCTCCGGCGGTCGCACCGATGCCCCTCACCAGCTGCCGGTCGGCCACGGTCCTGTCAGGCACGAGGCTGTACACCTGGCTCCTCAGCACGATGGGCGGCAGAGCGTCCTCAAACAGACCTCGCGGGAACAGCTGCATGAGCTCTGAGACAGCCGCGCGCGCCGACCCTGGACCGAGAAACCGGGTCAGAGACAGGGAACTGGGGCGGGGACGCGGTTCCAACAAAACTCTCGGCTACCGGAAGCGAGGCCCCACCCAGCTGGGGTCTTTAGCCCCGCCCCGGGGTTGCCATGGTTACCTGGCTCGCCACGAAGAGGATCCGACTCCACAAGCCTTCGCTTCCGCCGCCTCTTAACTCCAAAGGTCTCCGGGACCAGGTGATGCCTCTTTCGGCTCATATCCCGGGATTTTATGGTACCGGGGAAGAGGTAGGAATGGAGGGAAGAGAACCTGAAAATAGGGTCTTCCGGCGCAGAACAGTGACGTACGGTCTCCCCGGGCGTCCCTCCTAGACCAGGTGATGACGAAAAGGGCGTCAACTTGTCATCCCTCAGGCCAGTCAGTGTTGGGAGGGGCGGTGGCGACGCAGATACCCGCACCACGTCCGCCGGGCCGGGCCTCACGCCGACCGCGGATTGGCTCCCTCCAAGGGCACGCACGCCTGGGGACTCGTGGGCGGCGTGGAGGGGCGCCGGTGGTCACGTTGGGATCAGCCTCCTTCGTAAAGCTCACACCTCCCCGGCCCCGGGAGGGGTTTGCCCGCCACTGTCGCTGAATGATTGCATCATCGAAAGCAGAAAAACCACTTTTGCATCCTTCGGCCTCTGGTGTGCCTGCCATGACGTCATAGCCCTGCGGAGGTGGAAGTTGGGGAGCTTTGAGGTAACTGGATTCTTGATCTGAGCGCAGGCGTCCTTCCTAACCTCACTGCATTTGGAGGACCTGGAGGGAGGGTGGGTGAAGGGCAAGGAAAGAGGCAGGATGAGAGGTTAGCCGCGGTGGCGTCTGAGGGGCCTGAATGTTTCAAGGCCAGAACCTGGCGATCAGGTGGCTCGCTTAGTCCTAAACCAGTCATCCTTCTCCAGGCCTCCTCTGTAAAATGGAAACTCTGTCCGCCTGCTTCCCTTAGGACCTCATGGATCCCAGGGGGACCAAGAGAGGAGCTGAGAAGACAGAGGTAGCCGAGCCTCGGAACAAACTACCCCGTCCAGCACCTTCTCTGCCCACAGACCCTGCCTTCTACTCTGGGCCCTTTCCTTTCTACCGGCGCCCTTCGGAACTGGGCTGCTTCTCCCTGGATGCTCAACGCCAGTACCATGGAGATGCCCGAGCCCTGCGCTACTATAGCCCACCCCCCACTAACGGTCCAGGCCCCAACTTTGACCTCAGAGACGGATACCCGGATCGATACCAGCCCCGGGACGAGGAGGTCCAAGAAAGGCTGGACCACCTGCTGTGCTGGCTCCTGGAACACCGAGGCCGGTTGGAGGGGTGAGCAAAGCGTGGCAGGCAGTATATCTGGAGACCCGTACTACCCTCTAAAATTAGGAGAGCCACAGCCGGGGTGAGAATCAGTCCTTAGAAGAAACAGACTATTCTTCGAGGGGAGCATCTCACTAATGCTTGTGTCAGACCTTCAGCCTGTAACTCCTGCCTCTCAGGGGTCCAGGCTGGCTGGCAGAGGCCATAGTGACATGGCGGGGGCACCTGACAAAATTGCTGACGACACCGTATGAGCGGCAGGAGGGTTGGCAGCTGGCAGCCTCTCGGTTCCAGGGAACACTATACCTAAGTGAGGTGGAGACGCCGAAAGCCCGGGCCCAGAGGCTTGCTCGGCCACCGCTCCTCCGGGAGCTTATGTACATGGGATACAAATTTGAGCAGTATATGTGTGCAGGTGAGTTGCCCCTGCTTCATAGCCCCCTTCCCCTTCCCAGAGATTGAGAGCCCCCCACCCCTGCTGCTGCTTCTCTCCTTGTGCAGACAAACCTGGAAGCTCCCCAGACCCCTCTGGGGAGGTTAACACCAACGTGGCCTTCTGCTCTGTGCTACGCAGCCGCCTGGGAAGCCACCCTCTGCTCTTCTCAGGGGAGGTAGACTGCACAGACCCCCAGACCCCATCCACACAGCCCCCCACCTGCTATGTGGAGCTCAAGACCTCCAAGGAGATGCACAGCCCTGGCCAATGGAGGAGCTTCTACAGGTTCAGGACAGGGGTGGGCAGGGCAAGAGCTTAGACTTGAAGGCTGGGAAAAGGACTTGGGGAGGAGGGTGAAGGCAGAATGGAGGGTGGACGAGGGGTCCCACTGACCCCTTGCTTTTCCTGACAGACACAAGCTCTTGAAATGGTGGGCTCAGTCATTCCTCCCAGGTGTCCCCAATGTTGTTGCTGGCTTCCGTAACCCAGAGGGTTTTGTCTCTTCCCTCAAGACCTTTCCTACCATGAAGATGTTTGACTATGTCAGGGTAAGGGAATGATGCTGCAGCTCCCACCCGCATCCCCAAACACCAAGACCACAGGTCTAGCGTCCAGGGCAGCAGCCTGCCTTCCCCTCATCCCACCACCCCCACTGCCAATCTTCTGCCTCTTCTGCCTGCTCCAGAATGACCGTGACGGCTGGAATCCCTCTGTGTGCATGAACTTCTGTGCTGCCTTCCTTAGCTTTGCCCAGAGCACGGTTGTCCAGGATGACCCCAGGTGAGGCATTTGGCTCTGTCCATCCTCTCTGGATCCCAGGATCCAGCCTCTGGTCCTCAGCTGATTCCTCCATCTGCCTCGCAGGCTTGTTCACCTCTTCTCTTGGGAGCCTGGCGGCCCAGTCACCGTGTCTGTACACCGAGATGCACCCTATGCCTTCCTGCCTATATGGTACGTGGAAGCCATGACTCAGGACTTCCCATCACCCCCCAAGACTCCCTCCCCCAAATAGTGATGTTTAGAGGGGGGCAGTCATATCTCTGTGTACAGATAATAAAAGCGTATTTCTAAGAGGTTCTGCTATCTTCTTAGCTGAGTCATCCCTGCCCAACAACTCAAGCACACACAGTGGTTTGCTGTTTTATCATCACATTTTTACATGGGGCATTCACTGGGTGTAGAGGCTGGCCGCAAATACGATGTCCCGCCGTAGCAAGGTAGCCGCTGTCTCCATCTTGGCGCCCAGCACAGGCTCTCCTACTAGGCGGGCTGCCCCCCGCAGTGAGCGACACATCTCAGCCAGGCGCTGAATGCAGCGGACCACCAGGCCCTCAGGGGTCCCTGAGAGCCCTGCCAACTCGGAGAAGGGCTGTGGGGAAAGTAGGGTGAGAACTGGATGTGCTCACCCTGGGCAGGCTCACCCTGGGCAGGCTCACCCTCAGCCAGCCGTCTGCAAAATCCCAAACCTCAGGTACTCACCATGCCCCGGGCCCACTCATACACAACCTCGACCAGCCCAAAATTCAGCTCGCCCACAAATTCCTCCACCGTCTGGTTCAGGCCACAAGCCACCTGGACCTCACCAATCCGCTTGGCCACAGCCCGAACACGTTCTATTCCCTGCAGGGAAGAAGGAGAGATTAAGGCCTGCCTTCCTGCTCCAGGAGAGGGAAGGACTAGATCAAGAAGGCAGCCATTCCCATCCTCGGGGCACTTACAGGGCAGCAGGGGGTCACCTGGGGGACTACCTGAGGGTGGAGGTCAGGAATGCCACAGCCCTGGCAGGGAGAAAGGAGTGATATCCCCTACCTGCTTGAGGGTGTTTGGGAGCTGATCTCCAGCGTCCCCAGGGCTCTGGCAGACCAGGCCAGAGAGCAAGGCAGCAATCTCCTCAGGCCGCAGGGTGCTTAGTGCATTGTCAAACATGAGCTCAGTGAGGAGCAACTCATGGCTGCTCATGGCACAAGCCACCCGCCCTGCCAGCTTCACAGTGCCTGCCTCGTCCACGTAACCCAGGGTTCGGAGCACCTGTAAGAAAAAGAGTGGGCATTGGACACCCTGCTATCCCCTAGCCCCCCGCCCCAACCACTGCCCCGCCCACCTCTACTCGCTGGTGGTACTCAGGAAGCAGCAGCAGCGACTGATCTGACAGTAGGAAGCGCAGCCGCTCCATCTCCTTCTGTATCTGCATTCGCTCCCGCAGCTTCAGGTACTGCAGAGAGCCACCCGTCAGCCTTCTCCTTGCCCCTTAGCAGGGGTGGACTGAAGACAAGGGCTGAGATGGGGGTGGTCGGTCTACAGGGAACCACAGAGGAAAAGCCCCTACTCCCAGCTCGGGAGTTAGCACCCAGGGTCCTACCTGGGCAGGAAAACGGGGGCTGTGTACACACTGAGCCCCCCGGATCAGCTCCTCCAGCTTCCGGGCCCGGAGCCCACCCTCTACAACTGACATGTCTTTGAGCTGCAGGTCATTGACAGGGTCGAGGGTGGGGGGTCCGGCTGGGTGAGCCTGAGCCAGACGCAGTAGTTCCTGGACAGCAGTGGTCACGGCTGCAAGGGGAGGATCCTTCCTGAAGAGGGAGGAGATCTTAAGATCTGGGGTGAGATCTTCTCTCCCACAGAAGCCCCCCTCAGGCTGTGGGAGCCCTCTTACTACAACCCCCACTTCACAGTCTCCCTTAGGCTGGAGGAGCCCCCTCACTACAACTCCACCACGTCATAGTCTCCCTCAGGCTGGGGAAAACTCCCAGACCACTGCCCCTCCCCGCTTCTACATGCCCCTCTGGAGGAAAAGGGCCTCCCTAGCATCTCTGACTTGAATTTTGGCTGCTGCCTCTTGCTGAAGTCCTCCAAGATCTTCTCCCCATTCACCCGGAGCACTTTGGTAGTGATGGCAGCCATATCTCCTGGCTGGAGCTTGACTACGGTGTGCTCACAAGGCCCTGTGAAAAAGGGAGAGCAGCGCAGACCTTGCCGTGGACCCAGGCATCCTGCTCATACTGCTGGCAGAAAACAGGCATCTGCCGCACTCTCACCTTCAGGCAGGAACAGCTTGAATCCCACGAGGTCATCTGGATAGGGCACCTCTGGAGTGGCCGGCCCCCTGTCCTGTGGGTCCTGGGACAAGGGCTTATCACACAAGACCAGGGTTGTGAATACTCTGCTGGTGGAGTTCGAGGAGACCTGGGGGTGGTCAGAGAGGCCAGGAGAGCGGGGTGTGAGGAGTAGACATCAAAGGTAGGGACCAGATACCTACCCTTGGGCAGGAATCAGGAAGCAACCATGCAGAGCTCACCAGTAGAGAGGGGCGACCAAGTCAAGCGATCAGAGCAGACTTCTTGGGGTGGTGGGAGGAAGGAGTGAGCATGATGTGGTGATGGGAAGGGAGAGGGTGAAAAGGAGGGCAAGAGGGGAAAATGAGGACCCTGTGGTGATGCAACCTGCCCTGGCCAAGTGGGGAAAATGGAGAGAGGGCTTGCTCCCTCCCACCCTCTGGAGTCCAAATTCCCATCACCCTCACCTGTAGGATCACTCCCAGTGCGTTGTGATGCTCCTGATTCTTCACAACCACCACCCTTCCTGCTGAGAGAGACTTCAACCCGTTCACAGACTCCATGATGCGTCGCTGAAGAGCAGGGACGCACACAAAGCACAGATGGGAGGAGGCATCACAGGGACAGACACTTGGACTAAGTTTAATAGCACCTAGAGTGACACGATCTCCTCCTCCCTTCTCCTGTCACCCCCTCAGCACTCACACTTGCTCACCTGAATCATGTGCTGGGTCTCTGTCAGTTCCTCCCCCCAGCCGTAATATTCAGGCAGGTCGACCAGTTGGCCAGTCATGTCAGGCTCCTCCAAAGCCCCCAGCCTCTTGGTCAGTTCGGCCAGGGCTTGTTCATGGGCCTTGGGTGGAAGCAGGGGGAAGCTGTGAAAGGGGAGTCTCCAGGCCCAGTCTGCCACACCCCCGACCCTCAACACACTGGCCTCTGGATGCTTACCTATTCCCAGCCTGGCTTTGTCCAACCTCCTGCTCCACATACTGGTTACCCAGGCTCCTTACCTTGCTGTCCTTGCGGGAGGGAAACTCAGAGAAGCTCCTCTTCATCATGTCCTCCACCCTGAGGGCATCTACCCGCAGCAAGTTGAGGATCATAGTGTACGTGAGGCGGAACTGGGACTGCAGCTGGGATGGCTTCCCCTGGAATCAGATCAGAGAAGTCAGTGAGATCAGGGTGGGACCTACTGCACCCCAGCCAGTCTTCTGGACTGGGCCTACTCCCATCAGACCTGGTCCCAGCTCTGCAACCATGGGGCCTTTGACAAACCACTTGCTCACCTCTTCTGTAACATAAGGGAGCAAACTGAAATAAATAGACTCAAAGGCCCCATCTAGCTCCGTATTCATGGGGGAGAAAACTGGAAGAGATAGGCTTCAATCTCATCCTTGGATTCGCTCACTCCTACCTCGGCTTCTCCCAGGCAAAACAAAAAAGTCAGAGGAAGCTGAGCGCTGTGGCTCACACCTACAGTCCCAGCACTTTGGGAAGCTGAGGCAGACAGATTGCTTGAGCCCAGGAGTTCAAGACCAACCTGGGCAACATAGCAAAACCTCATCTCTACAAAAAATAGAAAAAAAAAAAGTTAGCCAGGCATGGTGCATGTGCCTGGAATCCCAGCTACTTGGGAGGCTGAGATGGGAGGATCACTTGAGCCTGGGAGGCAGAGGTTGCAGTGATCCAAGACTGTGCCACTGCACTACAGCCTAGGTGACCCTGCCTCCAAAAAAAAAAAAAAA